TTTATTTGGTTTTTTTGCTTAAGGCCTATTTAAGTTATTACGTTTCTTTCTTAGGCGGCAAAATGGTTGGGCAGTCAATTATACTAATTACAGTTACTTCGAATACAGTTCTGTAATTTAACATACATATTGCCTAATTCTAAACCGGATTGAGTTTTTCTTAAGTATTTGTATTTACTCGTACTTGCGTCTACAGATAGAACAATAAACCTTTTCAACAAGTATTTGTTCAAAAATTTTTGGTGTAATATGCAACCTTTTAAATATCTTCTAAACATTTGCTAACTTTATATATTACATGTGAAAGAGATACGAAAAGAATTTCAATAATAAATAAAATATTTGGAAACGTTGCATATCACACCAAATATTTTTAAAAAAATACCTGTGAAAAAGGTTTATTGGTTCTTATAGAATACAACTACAGGTTGTTATAAACCTAGACACTTCTACGTGGTGACTAGAACAAATAAACTAATTTTTTGGCTGAAACTATCTTTTTAGATAAGTGTTTTATTATTAATACTGTATTTTCGTTTATTTTATTTTATCTTTATTTACTAGATTATAGTCTATCGGTTTTATTATTAATAAAAATTTAAATTTATTGCAAATTGCGGTTTTACAAGTTATACGGATCATATTTTTATTTTTATTTATTCTTATTGTAATCTCGTCATACTTTTCGTGAAAATTTCAAGCCTTAATCGTTTTTGTGCTATCGTTGGGTAGGCCTTCGCAAAAATCACTCGTGCGATTTTGGAATTTTTGGGGCTATAAAAACTGTGTTTCACTTGACCTGAAATTGGTATGTGGAATTAGTATAGGCTTCATTTGTGCCTTACACGTATCTGTTGCCAGTAGCAGGCCTTCAAAGTCAGGGCGGGTGCGGGCCTGGGGGCCGGTTTGAAGCCGTACCAGCCTGACTTTAAAAGCTTGCTACTGGTAACAGGCACATGTGAGGTACAAACGAAGCTCATTTGTCGAAAATGAGTTTATAATAATAATTACACATTCCAGTTTTTGTCAAGAACCAATTGTGGAATACTGTTTTTATAGTCCAAAATTGTACGGGTAATTTTTGCGGAGGCCTAATTCTAGACTTTCGTCGTTTTTATATCGTAAGCGATAAAAATTTAGGCTTTGTCGTTTTAGCGTCGTCATTGGTGTCGTTGTTATTAGATCTTTGTTGGTATATTTTGTTATGTGCGATTTTGTCGTTTTCTATATCGCAATATTGTTTGTCAAAACTCACCAAGTGTTTTGGCATTGGTGTGATTTTAGTGTTTTAGAGTCGATGCGGTAACTTATTCTTTATCTTAAATTCTACAAAATTACCAGATTGGTATATGTAATTATCTATTGTGTAAAATGTCCATGGTTTAATCACGTTGGAGATTACAGATTTCTGGAACATCGATAAAATTTTTCCACCCAAATTATTATTTAGCTAAAAACATGTCTCGGCTTGCTTATGTGCTGGAAGTTTAGATTAGAGTCGGATGGTGATTGTAGAATTATTGAATAATATTTATATATACAATTATTTCGATTTATGACTATATTGGTTAAGTTATAACCAGAAGAACGGCGACATTTTGTAAGCCAGAGCCCTAATTATTAAGTCTTACACTTTAGAATATTTTATAAGTTACACTTATAAGATTGTTTTTATAAAAGAATGCAATTTTTATTATTCTATTATTTTTTGTTTTAGATATTTTTATAATCTATGAAAAGAAAAGTACTGTTGAAAAGAAACTCAGTATGTGTACGAATCCTTGATACACTTACCAGTTGCAAGTTCTATTACGGCTTGTGGTTGTATTAAACCTTGTGGCCTATAAACTAAAATTGTTTAAAAAATATTATTTTGCTGTATTTAGTCTAATAATCTTGAAGGTTTTATATGCCCTACCTGGAGTTGCAATTCAGGCATCTGAAATAGTACTCTCCTGAAATTACTGGTTTAATGCATGCAAGATCTAATTTTAGGGCTTATTTTTAGCCAGGTACAACTTCAAGTTACAATTCTAGGCATGAACCGTTATTTTAGTGCTTCATCTGTCTATAGTTTTGCTCACTTCATCTTAGAAATCTCATATCACTGGGAAATTCTAAGATTTCAAATTTTGATTCGGTATAGAACGCAGCACAAAATAAGAATACGTAAAGCAATTGCTTTTTATTTATACTAGAATCAGAAGGGTTTTATTTTGACTACATAACGTAACTATTATGCATATAAAATGTGAGCAATTTTGTTCAAAATAAGACCAAAATCAATTTTAAATTCCATATTATCATACAAAGATCTAACATAATTGTTTATTATATTACTATTCCGGTAATTCTACAACGACAGGTGCATACTCCCCTTCCTCTTCGTCATTATCAATTGACAGTTCCAATCGAAATCGCTGACCAAGAAATCCCCGTAACTTGTTAAATCGACGTCGTAATGATTTTAGTTCATTAGATGAAGATTGTGTTGATAAATCTGAAATGGTCTTATCTAGATTCTTTATAGAATGTTTAATACACAAATCAAGTGTTTAATAAAATGTAGATTAGGATGCAATATGTACAGTCAACCCTTCCTAAATTTATATATTGCATTTGTATACCTATTTTTAAGTAGCACCTGACTGAAATTAAGCCCTAAAATTAGATCTTTATACATTAATTCTGATCAGGTGCTATTTTAAATATTTAAAGTGACTACTTCAGATAGGTAAATGCTCAAAATACAACATATACAAATACCAAGTTTACTTCCTCTATCAGATATTGATTTAGTTCCAAATTTTAAATCATAAAAATTACTCTTCTAAATGCAACTCATAAAATTTTGTCATATACACTGGCAAAAAAATTATATTTTAACTATTAACCAGTAATATATAGTACAAATATTAACTTACTTGCTATATATTTACTAGGTAATATTTGTGTTTAAACATATTGACTAAAATATATTAAACTGCATATATTACCTAGTAAATATATATAAATAAGTTAATATTTGTTCTATATATTACTGGTTATTATTTATTATTATTTAGTTAAAATATAATTTTTTTACCAGTGATAGTCCTGGTAAATAGAGCTTAAAAAGAGTTGACTGTAAATGTACAGATAAGGATTCGGTTAAACCTTTAAAACATGCGAAAGAAAATTATCTTCAGAAATAACGTCTCGAAAAAAGTCAGGCGGACATTCTTCAAGTTGAAAATTTAACACATCTATTTATAAATACTTTTATTAGTTTTAAACCGATTAAATGAAACCAAATGCGATAAGTCAATAAATATAAAGATACCGAGGAATTCAGAAAAAAGCGTCGCAGCATAGGTATTAATGATTTCTTTACACAAACAAACCAACTGCACTAAATTCTTCCATTGTGTGAACCCTGCAAAATTTTGTCCTATCAGTAAACACACAAAGGACAGCTGAAGTTCACCTAAAAGCTCTTTGTAGCCTAATGTTTATAACCAACATATAGAGAAAGAGAGCTTTATTAGTTATCATTGATAATGCGAGAATAATTATAGACAAATTACCGCTTGGCAACATAAAACTTTCCATTTTTATAATTAGAAGTAAGAAGCTCGCGCAACAGCCAACTTTTATCTTGACTATATTTCGTTATCTCTCCCCCCACAGCACCAGTTCTCCAACTTTTTTTTAGGTCAAATTTTGTAAAAAGAATAATATCCTCCTGAAACTTCGATGATCCTTTAATGTTTAGTAACTCATCTTCATCTACGGTTGACGATGAAACGTTATTCATCTTTCCTTCGTTAGGTAATATACGAGAAATCAACGAAGGGGTTATATAATTTGTTAAATTAACCCATTTTTCCAAATGTGTTGGCGGCGTTAGTGGATATGCGCCAAGAAATGGATCAAATTCACGCATGTCTAAATAATGAGAGATGTTGTGGTTGCTTTTTTTTTAGTGTTTAATTAAATGTCGGGAGTGGAATAATAAAGCTAGCTCTAAATTAAAGAGGGTGTATTAATACCTAATTTTAAACGTTCGATTTGTTCTGAATCTGTTTCATCATCTTTCTTTACATCTTCTATATGAGGATCCCAATATTTGATCACTACCTGAATAATTTAAATTAGATGTAATTTGATTAAGTGAGGGTAATTAAACAATGTCTTACCTCTTTTGACTCATAAAATTTAAAGAATCCACTCCTAAGACCAGATGTACCAGATTTATCTGAAGTACTTTTTTTTTAAAAAAAAAAAATAGCTAGATAAGACAAAAGGAATAGGTCTCTAAAAATCGAAATCTTAATAAATCAAACCTATAATAAACAAAATGTAATCCTGGGGGGATGAGTTTTACGCCTTTAAATCTTGGACCTGTTTGCCATGAATTATAATCTATTCCAAACTTTTTAGTTCAATGGAAAAAATATTATACATTTAAAATTTAAACGATTATAAGAATAATAGTATTAAAGTAAAATAATCAAACCTCCAGACTCTCAGGTGCATTCAAAAATAACAAGAAAGCACCTTTATTAAATAAAGCTTGTGCCGTTTCCTGATCCATCTTTGAGAGATTTGAAATTTATTTATAACGTTAATACGAAAATGTTATGTTATTGGGATGATTTTCATCAAATATTGATTTGCTGATAATTATTAATAATCCTAATTTAGATCATATGGGCTGATTTTTTTCGATTTATGTAGATCGTACCCCAAAAATTGGTTTAATTCTGGTCGAATTTGCAGATCATTTGACCCTTGGCAATGAGTTTTAAAACTCATTGCCAAGGGTCAAATGATCTGCAAATTCGACCAGAATTAAACCAATTTTTGGGGTACGATCTACATAAATCGAAAAAAATCAGCCCATATGATCTAAATTAGGATTATTAATAATTATCAGCAAATCAATATTTGATGAAAATCATCCCAATAACATAACATTTTCGTATTAACGTTATAAATAAATTTCAAATCTCTCAAAGATGGATCAGGAAACGGCACAAGCTTTATTTAATAAAGGTGCTTTCTTGTTATTTTTGAATGCACCTGAGAGTCTGGAGGTTTGATTATTTTACTTTAATACTATTATTCTTATAATCGTTTAAATTTTAAATGTATAATATTTTTTCCATTGAACTAAAAAGTTTGGAATAGATTATAATTCATGGCAAACAGGTCCAAGATTTAAAGGCGTAAAACTCATCCCCCCAGGATTACATTTTGTTTATTATAGGTTTGATTTATTAAGATTTCGATTTTTAGAGACCTATTCCTTTTGTCTTATCTAGCTATTTTTTTTTTTTAAAAAAAAAGTACTTCAGATAAATCTGGTACATCTGGTCTTAGGAGTGGATTCTTTAAATTTTATGAGTCAAAAGAGGTAAGACATTGTTTAATTACCCTCACTTAATCAAATTACATCTAATTTAAATTATTCAGGTAGTGATCAAATATTGGGATCCTCATATAGAAGATGTAAAGAAAGATGATGAAACAGATTCAGAACAAATCGAACGTTTAAAATTAGGTATTAATACACCCTCTTTAATTTAGAGCTAGCTTTATTATTCCACTCCCGACATTTAATTAAACACTAAAAAAAAAGCAACCACAACATCTCTCATTATTTAGACATGCGTGAATTTGATCCATTTCTTGGCGCATATCCACTAACGCCGCCAACACATTTGGAAAAATGGGTTAATTTAACAAATTATATAACCCCTTCGTTGATTTCTCGTATATTACCTAACGAAGGAAAGATGAATAACGTTTCATCGTCAACCGTAGATGAAGATGAGTTACTAAACATTAAAGGATCATCGAAGTTTCAGGAGGATATTATTCTTTTTACAAAATTTGACCTAAAAAAAAGTTGGAGAACTGGTGCTGTGGGGGGAGAGATAACGAAATATAGTCAAGATAAAAGTTGGCTGTTGCGCGAGCTTCTTACTTCTAATTATAAAAATGGAAAGTTTTATGTTGCCAAGCGGTAATTTGTCTATAATTATTCTCGCATTATCAATGATAACTAATAAAGCTCTCTTTCTCTATATGTTGGTTATAAACATTAGGCTACAAAGAGCTTTTAGGTGAACTTCAGCTGTCCTTTGTGTGTTTACTGATAGGACAAAATTTTGCAGGGTTCACACAATGGAAGAATTTAGTGCAGTTGGTTTGTTTGTGTAAAGAAATCATTAATACCTATGCTGCGACGCTTTTTTCTGAATTCCTCGGTATCTTTATATTTATTGACTTATCGCATTTGGTTTCATTTAATCGGTTTAAAACTAATAAAAGTATTTATAAATAGATGTGTTAAATTTTCAACTTGAAGAATGTCCGCCTGACTTTTTTCGAGACGTTATTTCTGAAGATAATTTTCTTTCGCATGTTTTAAAGGTTTAACCGAATCCTTATCTGTACATTTACAGTCAACTCTTTTTAAGCTCTATTTACCAGGACTATCACTGGTAAAAAAATTATATTTTAACTAAATAATAATAAATAATAACCAGTAATATATAGAACAAATATTAACTTATTTATATATATTTACTAGGTAATATATGCAGTTTAATATATTTTAGTCAATATGTTTAAACACAAATATTACCTAGTAAATATATAGCAAGTAAGTTAATATTTGTACTATATATTACTGGTTAATAGTTAAAATATAATTTTTTTGCCAGTGTATATGACAAAATTTTATGAGTTGCATTTAGAAGAGTAATTTTTATGATTTAAAATTTGGAACTAAATCAATATCTGATAGAGGAAGTAAACTTGGTATTTGTATATGTTGTATTTTGAGCATTTACCTATCTGAAGTAGTCACTTTAAATATTTAAAATAGCACCTGATCAGAATTAATGTATAAAGATCTAATTTTAGGGCTTAATTTCAGTCAGGTGCTACTTAAAAATAGGTATACAAATGCAATATATAAATTTAGGAAGGGTTGACTGTACATATTGCATCCTAATCTACATTTTATTAAACACTTGATTTGTGTATTAAACATTCTATAAAGAATCTAGATAAGACCATTTCAGATTTATCAACACAATCTTCATCTAATGAACTAAAATCATTACGACGTCGATTTAACAAGTTACGGGGATTTCTTGGTCAGCGATTTCGATTGGAACTGTCAATTGATAATGACGAAGAGGAAGGGGAGTATGCACCTGTCGTTGTAGAATTACCGGAATAGTAATATAATAAACAATTATGTTAGATCTTTGTATGATAATATGGAATTTAAAATTGATTTTGGTCTTATTTTGAACAAAATTGCTCACATTTTATATGCATAATAGTTACGTTATGTAGTCAAAATAAAACCCTTCTGATTCTAGTATAAATAAAAAGCAATTGCTTTACGTATTCTTATTTTGTGCTGCGTTCTATACCGAATCAAAATTTGAAATCTTAGAATTTCCCAGTGATATGAGATTTCTAAGATGAAGTGAGCAAAACTATAGACAGATGAAGCACTAAAATAACGGTTCATGCCTAGAATTGTAACTTGAAGTTGTACCTGGCTAAAAATAAGCCCTAAAATTAGATCTTGCATGCATTAAACCAGTAATTTCAGGAGAGTACTATTTCAGATGCCTGAATTGCAACTCCAGGTAGGGCATATAAAACCTTCAAGATTATTAGACTAAATACAGCAAAATAATATTTTTTAAACAATTTTAGTTTATAGGCCACAAGGTTTAATACAACCACAAGCCGTAATAGAACTTGCAACTGGTAAGTGTATCAAGGATTCGTACACATACTGAGTTTCTTTTCAACAGTACTTTTCTTTTCATAGATTATAAAAATATCTAAAACAAAAAATAATAGAATAATAAAAATTGCATTCTTTTATAAAAACAATCTTATAAGTGTAACTTATAAAATATTCTAAAGTGTAAGACTTAATAATTAGGGCTCTGGCTTACAAAATGTCGCCGTTCTTCTGGTTATAACTTAACCAATATAGTCATAAATCGAAATAATTGTATATATAAATATTATTCAATAATTCTACAATCACCATCCGACTCTAATCTAAACTTCCAGCACATAAGCAAGCCGAGACATGTTTTTAGCTAAATAATAATTTGGGTGGAAAAATTTTATCGATGTTCCAGAAATCTGTAATCTCCAACGTGATTAAACCATGGACATTTTACACAATAGATAATTACATATACCAATCTGGTAATTTTGTAGAATTTAAGATAAAGAATAAGTTACCGCATCGACTCTAAAACACTAAAATCACACCAATGCCAAAACACTTGGTGAGTTTTGACAAACAATATTGCGATATAGAAAACGACAAAATCGCACATAACAAAATATACCAACAAAGATCTAATAACAACGACACCAATGACGACGCTAAAACGACAAAGCCTAAATTTTTATCGCTTACGATATAAAAACGACGAAAGTCTAGAATTAGGCCTCCGCAAAAATTACCCGTACAATTTTGGACTATAAAAACAGTATTCCACAATTGGTTCTTGACAAAAACTGGAATGTGTAATTATTATTATAAACTCATTTTCGACAAATGAGCTTCGTTTGTACCTCACATGTGCCTGTTACCAGTAGCAAGCTTTTAAAGTCAGGCTGGTACGGCTTCAAACCGGCCCCCAGGCCCGCACCCGCCCTGACTTTGAAGGCCTGCTACTGGCAACAGATACGTGTAAGGCACAAATGAAGCCTATACTAATTCCACATACCAATTTCAGGTCAAGTGAAACACAGTTTTTATAGCCCCAAAAATTCCAAAATCGCACGAGTGATTTTTGCGAAGGCCTACCCAACGATAGCACAAAAACGATTAAGGCTTGAAATTTTCACGAAAAGTATGACGAGATTACAATAAGAATAAATAAAAATAAAAATATGATCCGTATAACTTGTAAAACCGCAATTTGCAATAAATTTAAATTTTTATTAATAATAAAACCGATAGACTATAATCTAGTAAATAAAGATAAAATAAAATAAACGAAAATACAGTATTAATAATAAAACACTTATCTAAAAAGATAGTTTCAGCCAAAAAATTAGTTTATTTGTTCTAGTCACCACGTAGAAGTGTCTAGGTTTATAACAACCTGTAGTTGTATTCTATAAGAACCAATAAACCTTTTTCACAGGTATTTTTTTAAAAATATTTGGTGTGATATGCAACGTTTCCAAATATTTTATTTATTATTGAAATTCTTTTCGTATCTCTTTCACATGTAATATATAAAGTTAGCAAATGTTTAGAAGATATTTAAAAGGTTGCATATTACACCAAAAATTTTTGAACAAATACTTGTTGAAAAGGTTTATTGTTCTATCTGTAGACGCAAGTACGAGTAAATACAAATACTTAAGAAAAACTCAATCCGGTTTAGAATTAGGCAATATGTATGTTAAATTACAGAACTGTATTCGAAGTAACTGTAATTAGTATAATTGACTGCCCAACCATTTTGCCGCCTAAGAAAGAAACGTAATAACTTAAATAGGCCTTAAGCAAAAAAACCAAATAAATTAAGTTTTTTTTTTTTTTTAACCTTAAGCGGTCATGCTAGTGCTTTATTAAGATTCTTGAAAATCACAATACATATAATTGTAATTACATAAAAATGCTTAATCTCTAAGTCTAGCTGTAGGGTCCATATGTGCTAATATTAAAAAAGTTTTTATATATAAAATCGTCTTCTCGATATTTTTTCTTAATGTAGCCAATTAGAGAGTCGGAAAAGTAACTTTTTAGGGAGTCGAAAAAGTAGCTTATTAGGGTGTTAGAAAAGTAGCTTATTAGAGAGTTGGAAAAGTAGTGTATCAAGACATTCGTTTCTTGTATTTTTTTTTCATTTTTACTTGTTTTGCTTCGTCGGGCTGATTCGTATGAACAAAAATTGGCGATTTTGATTGATCGTGCACGTAGGACGGTTACGCGATTTTCCGAAATCAATTGGCCAATTAAAAATCAGGATGTGGTGTAACGTAAAAAAAACGTTCGCAATTTTACTAGGCAGCTCTTCCTAACACTAAAACCCTAACATAAATGTGCCTTTTTGTTCGAAAACTATAGGTTTAGAAAATCACATGATCGGAAAATCGATCCTACAGTCCTACGAGTCCAGGATTATGATCCGGCATAATATGCGATTTTTACTATATGAAATCGCATAATCCGCTCACTTTCATGCAGTATGTGATACAAAAATTGATTGGTCAAATGAATAAACCGGTGACTGTAATCACCCGGATTATACGTAATCCTGAACACCCTACGCCCTATCAATCTGTCTCGTGATAGACCTGGTTTTAAGCGACTCTGTAACAAGCACCTCAATTGTTTCTTTTCTTTCTTTCTTCTTCCCTCTTCGTTTTCATCCTTTTTACTTAACGCTTTCTTCTATTCTTTCTTCCTTCTTTCTTCTTCGTCTTCATCCTTTTTACTTAACACTTTCTTTCTTTTCTTTCTTCCTTCTTCGTCTTCATCCTTTTTATTTAACACTTTCTTTCTTTTTTTTCTTTCTTCTGTTAACCTGGTTTCTTTTTTTGCCTTTCTTTTGTCTTCTTATCTTGCAATTTCTTCGTATCACATTATTCAAACCTGCATGTAGAACAAGTTCCAAGTCGTGTGAACTAGGTCTTTAAGGAACTGCTTTGCTACCGGTGTTAAACTCGCTTCGTATTAACCCTTTATTATTTCTGTTTTTTAATTTTTTCTTTTATTGCTCCGAAGACTTTTCCATATAACATATACGGGTTAAAAAAAATTAAAAATGTAAAAAAAGTGATTCTTATATACATAATTTTTTGATTAGCACTTTGTTTTGATAAACATGATCATCAAGTTGTACGCGTTCTTATTTCTCCTAAACCGGTTTGGCTGCAGATCATCCGTTTGATTGGTACACGCGTTCTTTACAATGTTACTTTATATGAATCGGTAAACACATAAATTATATACATCTAGAAGATGGGAAGATGGGATCCCTTCGATTCACCGACAATCATTTCACCGAACGATCATTTAGCCGACATCACATAGGGTTAGGGTTAAGCATTTCATTGGTTGCAGGTATATATTTTTACTAAATTTCACCTGGCGTGATGTCGTCAAAATGAGCTGTCGGTAAAGTGATCGATACGGACCCCTAGAAGATATATAGACATATATAAAGTCAGTGTTCACTACTAAAACCAGTTTACTATTTATGAATCTAAATCTATAAACTAAAATTTTAGTAACCAAACCAACTTAGGAATGTCTTAAATATAAATCTGAACCTTTACCTGCTAACGCGATGGCCGAAATCAAAAAGAAGGCCAACTATTTGGTTAGTAACTTTTTTTTTTTTTTTTTTGGTGCATGTTAAAATTCATACATTTTTTGCTTGTGTAATTTATGTTTACAAAAATACTTTAAAAATACTGTAAAGTATATGAATTTACTCGAGCAATTGATTTATATCAGTCAATCAAACAAACTTCTGTCTATGTATGTTTGTTAAATATTTTTAAAAGCATAACATTACATGAGTAACCAAAGTTGTTTCTAGATTAAAGAAGTATTGAAAGACCAATTTTTGTCGTAGTTATAAAATCCGACGGTCGAAGAAAAAGATCACCTGTAGATTTTAACAAGCCGATTAGACAGATATAACATCAAATTACGAATATATCCAGTCACATATATGATCTTATAAAGTGGAGCTTAAAACATTAACTATATCACGAAATTTAGTAAATTATTTGATATTACGCAAGATATATTTACATTTAAATATTTAATAATTTTGGTATCATATGGGTGACGCCAAGAGAAAACCGGGAATTCTAAACATAGATTTCTATCCACAGCGAAGTTGCGGGGTTTTTAATCGATTCGATGATGATAACGTTCTTTAATCATGTGTTATAATCATCGAATCGATTAAAAACCCCGCAACTTCGCTGTGGATAAAAATCTATTTTTAAAATTCCTGGTCTTCTCTTGGCGTCACCCATATGTCGTTTACTTGACTTTTTTAATACATATTGCTCATTTAGTAAAAGCTAAGCCTTCGGCCCTGGCACGATATTTTTTGGAGTCTACATCACTTTCCTGAAATTTCCCCAATAATCACTTTCCCGAAACTATTTTCCAACTATCATTTTCCATCACAACCATTTCTACGATAACCACTTCCTGATCAAAGGTCTTTGTCCAATTGACATCTTTGACATGATGCTCTAAAGTCATAAAGATCAGCAACTGGTGTAAACTTTTGACATAATGAAATCTCTGGAGCTACGCTACGTCTTTACGAAAAAGCATAACAAAAGGTAACGTGTTGTTGCGTTACTCTTATTTCTATTTTCGCTGGATCTTGTTCATCTGAGTGAAGTTTCTTCGTTCGAGATGGTCTTTGGAGCCTCCCATTAAGAGCCTAAAAACCTTAGTGCCAATAGCTTGAAGCATCCTTTCAGTATATTGGGATCAGACGAGCACTTTACGTTCGTTGGACTTTGTTCACTTGGTGAAGCTCTTTTGTTCAATGTATGGAAAGAAGTCTGAATTCCCCACTAAGAACTAAGAATCTTAGTGTTAATATTAAATCAAATGGGTGTCCTACGATTGTTCACTTAGGTATAGCTTTTTCGTTTATGTATGGAGAGAAGTTTTCGAAGCCCCCACTAAATCTTAGTGCCAACAGCTTGATAACTTCTTTCCCTTAGTGCTAACAGCTTGACAGTTTCTTTCCAGATACTCATCTCTTCTATGCCAAATTGTTCTCATTCTTAGTATATACTAATAATTGTAGAATGAATATTTCGGAAGTAATTGCAAATTATCTCCATAATGTTCAATATGGAAAATGGATGTAAGACATTGGGTGTACGACATACTATGTAAACTAAAACTTATAATTTAATGAAGAGCTTTTCGATAGATGCAAATTTTAATTGCTCGATAGTTGTCCGCAAAGCTAGTACTATGTTTCCATAAACAAAGCTATGGAGTCATTTATTTTTTTCTTAAAAAGGCAAGAACTTAATTTAGTTTATTCTTTGAAGAAGTGGCATTACAGCTTTGTTTGTAACGACGTAGTGGTCTTTATGAAATTTTATCCCAAACTATCGAACCGTTAAGATTGTGCATCTAAAGTTTGCAATAATTATTTAAAATTCTTATCTATCGATCTCTATCGAAAAAAGTCTTCATTAATCAATTTTATATAACCACATACATCCCAGGAAGGCATGCCACCATAAATAAGCATTAACTATCAAGACCATTTACGTCTGGAACCTAAATTATTTACCGATACGTTATATATTACAAAAAATTTATTAGCAATATATGGTTAAAAGAAATTTTCTTTATTTTCTAGTATTTGTAAAAATAGATCTAATTCTCATAAAACCAGCCAATTCATTCGAATGTAATGTTTAATTAATTAAATAAAAAATATAGACGACAAGGGTAAATGAACTTGGAAATGACTGTAAATTATTCTAGTATGGATGATTAATAAAACAAAAATACAATTACAATTACTATCATACATACAAGTGTTAAAGTTGGAAGAAAAAATAATTACAAAAAAATCAACGATTCATACTAATCGATTTAAATTGTTATGGCCGAATACAAAGATTCTTTGTAATAATGTTATATCTTATTTAAAGGAAACGGTAAGTCTAGAACAAGCGAAACATACAAGAACATTGACATAGGTGAAATTAAACCACTTTCTACTAGAATTATAATTAAGAAACGTAACAAACAAGAGTCGGGTTCACCAATTTAAAACTATAGTACACCGCTGGTGTTTGTAACATGAAGAGTATGCACAGTTTGCACAGTTTGCAGTCTAAACATTTGAAAAAAACCATGTGGTCTACAATAATAGGGATCTGTATACGGATGACGCCAGGGGAAAATCAGATCATATTATCGAAGTCTGGTTTTCCCCTTGGTGCCACCCATTCTGTGGTAGTGATAGTACGTATTAAATTTTATTTCGGCAAAACACTGATCATATGCTTAATTGCCTGATGTCAAAATCACAAGATGTCTCATTTTGTTCTGACAATAAAAGCTAAGTTTATAAAAGTAATTATAAATTTGTATTTATTTTCAGATTTCTTTAGAATTGGCTAAAACTTTGTATTTATTTGGGTTTATTTTTTTCAATAATTTGCTTAAAAAATCAATACGTAACTCCCCAGTACCCGAGGTTTTAAGAAAAAAACTAACCAAGTTTATTAGAATAAAAACCTATTAATTAAGAGTCTAACAAGCCGATTAACAATCCTATATTTCGATAACCCGTGATAAAATAAAATATATATGTATCACACAATATATCTTACAAATCAATAACTTTCATTCGCCCTCCAGTTCTAGAGAACAAAACATTGGCTTGTTTATAGTACAGTATATATTATTTACAATTATATATACGCCACCACAGAATCTGCAAACTTAATGGTAATTGCTGAATTCCAAATATACTAAATATAGCGTGGGAAAAAAGTAATTGTACGTACGTACCACTTTTACAATATTTCATCATTATGCATTATTGTCAATCACTTTATCTAACTAGGTTAGTTAAAGTACATTACGAAAAGTTTTGTTCAATCACTTTATCAACTAAGTTAATTTAAACATTAGCCAATTTTTCTAAAGATTTTTGGCCTCAATTAGAATGATCTTAAAAAAGTATTATCGTTACCGAAAAAGCTTTTAATGAGTAACGATAATAAATTAAAGTTGGAACCGCAAATACCTTTTTCCCCCATTGTGCATATATTAAAGTTCAATGAATTTTCTATAATCAGACGTTACAGCGTGGGAACAATGTTAGTTTCAAATAATTATTTCTTTCTGTTTAATTCTATATAATTGGATAAAGATAAATAATTATAATTATATTGTACACTGCTACTTATTGTTTATATAATTACGAGGACACTTAAATACACCTACAATCAGCCATTCTCTCATAACATTAGTATTAAGAAATGACTATTAAACTCATTGGACTCAAAAGATCAACTGCTACTCTTTCAGTTATCGTATGCCTCAATGAATTAGGTCTTCCTTACCAACTCGAAGTTCCAACTAATTTTTCTGTTGATATAAAATCAGAGGACTTTCTTGCTAATAAACATCCTTTGTAAATATAAGTAAACTGACACATGAGCTCATTATATGACCAACGTTGACAATTTTGTAATTTTAACGAAGCGGGATTATAATGAGCTAACGTGTATTACTTTTCTAGTATCTATTATTTTGTCCTAAATATTATATTTATTAACTTATTATAATATTAATTATAGCGGAAAAGTTCCTGTTCTTATTGATGGAGATTTTACAATTAATGAATCTCGTGCAATTTGTCGCTACCTAACATCTAAATATCAAGGCAAACATACTAATAAAATCTTGATCCCTAACGATGTTCATCAGGCCGGATTAGTCGAACAGTCTATTTCTTATGAATCTTTTTACTATGATCCACCCGTCTCAAAAATTGTATATCAAGAAGTAATCTTTAAATTTCATGGTAAAGAGTCGAACCCTGAAATTGTTAAGCAAGCTTGTGAAGATCTTTCTAAGGTTTTAGACGTTTATGAGAAAATTCTAGAAGGGAAAGAATATTTAAGTGGTGAATATTCTTTGGCTGATCTTTTTCACTATCCTTTTACTTATTACGCCTACACTTATGCCAAACGTTCGGATTTATGGGATTCAAGGCCTAATGTTAAAAAATGGTGGGAGAGATTATGTAATAGGGACGCCTGGAAAAAATCTTTAGAAGATATTAAAAGTTAATTTATTATCTTCGAAAATTAGTTTATATATTATTCATTTGTATTTAGAATTTTCGCTCTTTTGCTTTATAAATTCATTTGGTAAACTGTAAAAGAAATTAGTCTATAAAAGATTTCTTTTGGTTATATTAATTAGTTTTATACATGTAAAATTCTTTTCTCTAATCGCACACGTTAGTGTGGCAACGCAATGATAGTAACTTATGATACATACATGTTACTTGCGATAATATATATCAAAATATTTGCTCTAATTTTTTGCACCATAGATAAACATTTTATATCCAAAAAATATGCCGCGTTCATAAATAATTTTATAACTGCTTGATGCTAAGAGATCTCTGATAAAGATCCTCCATTATTGATCATTTAGCGAAACTACGAATGTCTATATTATTTTCAGATATCTCTATGAAAGGATCATATTAAGTGGTTATATTGGGATGCGCGTTAATTTGGGACACCATGGACGTTAATTCGAGACAATATATGCTAATTTTGATGAACCTGGTTTTTAAAATAACCCACGAGAGTTATTTCACGCTTATGGTAAAAAAAACAAAAGTTCAATAAAGTTTCCAGCATAATTCGAGAATGACAAATAACATAATTAGAGTTACGAGAATATTTATTTTCAGATTCCAAATTAGCAATCGACACTATATATTTATTCTTTTGTTAGTATTCCACAGATACCAAGATATTAAGAATCATTCCGTTAGATATGTTTAATAGACGCAACTTCTCTTTCACTTCATTTTCATTTTATAAGGTCAATTGTTTCCGCATACAGTATGTTGTTCCAATACCTTTGATATGTTTTAATAGATTTACATTGATAGCAGAATTAAATTGCTAATAATAAAAATACTATTGTTTCTTAATGTTATTTTGTTGGCTAAAAATATATACATAATTAATAAATGAATACATATAATTGGCATAGCCAAGATTATATTAAAAACTCTCTTGTCATAATTGCATACGAGTTAAGAATATTCCAAAGAGATTATGAAAAGAAGACTTGTTGAAATATAATTATAGATAGCATCCTTTTTTGTCTTGGTATATTCTTTATTAATAAGATTCTGAGTCATTTCTTTATTAAGAAAATATTCATATTGTCCACAACGAATGAGCCATGAGTAACTAAGGGTCGAATGTCTGATGAATCAAAAGGGACCCCATCTGCATTCTTAATGATCATGTTACCTTTGTACAAATGTAATTTCTAACCTTGATTGTCTTAACGTTAAATATAGCTGGAAACCTAGTCAAAGAAGTTTTCATTTGCACTGAGTTCGCGAGTTGAAATTACAAATTCCGAACACTATCGCTGAATCTTGCATCTCTATAAAAGTCGGGTAGTTTGATGAATAATCATTGGTCTTAGACAAATGAAGAAGTTTTAAACAAGCAATGGCCCGTAGCAGAAGTGCATTTTGCCACCAACTCTGTTAAATTTAGCTGATCAAAAAGAGAATTAATGCAATTGGTGTGTAGGCAAAACTATATACTGATATGAAGAATAACGCTTGATAAAAGGATGGCAAAGTTTAAAAATGTTTCTATTGCTAAATCTAGGACACATTACGCCGAAAAGTTAATGCTACCTCCGCGAGATATTGTTTTTCCTTTTGCTTATTATCACCTTCACAGAATGGAGGCCCAACTAGCCTCTGAAACCCATCAAGCGAAATATAGTGAGCAACGGACGAGACAGTCAATTTTCGGAAATCCATAGCAATAATATTAATGATCATTAAAACATTTAACGTTTGCTTTAGAGATTTCTCTCCATATTCTTGAATTATTAGCTATATAAAGTCATCAAGAATTCGTAATCTTATTGTGGCATCTGCGCTTAAGATCTCCTCTATGGTTCGAGGACGCAAGCTGTCATTGTAAGTTAACAAAATTTGAACGGAATTATCTGTAATAATTAGCTAATTGGTATTTCATTTGAGATGTCAGATTCTACAATGCTCGTAAGCATTTACGAATCATCGAAATTGTCTTTATAAGATTGTGGGTCTTGCCAGTACCGGGAACACCAGCTAAATATCATCCATCTTTAGTCGGTCACAACTATAATAAAAAAAACCCGAGGCAATTAATTGCTCACCTGAGATAAAAATTGATCGTTGATTATGATCACTGCCAATGCAAGCGGCTTTATAAACTGATCGATAAAACTTTCCATAAGCCAATTTGCAGTAATCGGTCTTTCTATTGTAATAAACTTAAGGAGGTCTTTTTTTCTTTTCTTTTATATGAATGCAAATATACTTATCAACCAACGGAAATTATGAAATTTTTTCTTTGTTATTCTAAAATAAGGAAATAAGTTAGCGGAAGAGAATGAAGGGTGATTACAGTATATGCAATACTAAATATAATGATAAATATAACATTCAACAAGATTAATATTTATTTCAAGTTTTTTTTTCATGAGGTAATATATTGAGAGCGTGGTTGAAAATAGAAGTAGTAAATTCCGGATTTTCTGGATTTTGAGTTAACGCCAAAGTATATACAAGCCTCTCTCGTTTTAGTGAAATGGCCCATTCCCATTAATAAAAATTTCATATGTCGAAAGTTTTATTAGTAGATTCACTATATCGATGTTTTAATTAGTTTTCAAAAGTTCACGAGAGTAACTTGTATATATAAACCAGGTTTTTTTGTCTAGAAACTGGTAAATTAAATCTTATTTTCAATACTGACTGGAGAAACGTATTTGGAGGTTGTACAATTATATGTATGATTTTTACAGAAAGTGGTTACTGTTCACGGAATTCTTCTGGAATTTCATCTGCTGGGTATAGTTTTATACCATTAAGGTCTTGTTCAATATCAATTTTATGGAATGCGTTGTCGAGTATTTTCATTTTATTTTCCAGGAATTTTGCCTAAAATGTGGTAGCATACTATTATATCGGTATGCATGCCTGTAAAACAAAATTTGATAGTTAAAAAAAAAAATTTAAGTCGTTAATTCTTTTCATGAAAATCTAATGACGATTTGCAAAACTCGTTTTACTTTCTATAATACATTTATAACATATAAAAAAATGTTTTTGCTGCGCAACCAGATCGATCAAATTTTCTTTGGAATAGTATTGATACGTATTCAAATTTGCTAACGCTAATAAATTACGTACAACTCACTCGTTAATGTTAAGTGCTAATTTTCTATAAAATAGGCTACTCCGACCCTAAATTTTGGCTAATGAATTTGACGTGGCTAACCTAACGCTAAGGCAATAATGCTGGCAGAACTTTGTAAAACCGATACTTTACATGAGTGCTGCCAAGAGAAAATACATAAATCTTATTAGACAAGATTTGCGGGTTTTCTCTTGGCGGTACTCATATAATTTGATGAAAATTACACGAAATCTGATTTACGTAAAAATACATAAAGTTTTGAGTTAACCGGTGTTACTATAGTCATGTGAAAAATTTTCTGCGCCTTCGTCATATGATGATCATCCGTCGTAAACCGATAACCGTGTTACTTTAATTTCTTTTTCTCTTTTCTTCTAATTTTGGTAGTATTATCATCGATTATCCATTTCCTATTTTGTACTCTTGATATACATAGCGTATCTTCATTACTATATTTAGCTACCCATAGAT